CCTCACCCAGGGATATTTTTTCCATTGCTTTTCAGAGAGCGTGGAAGGGGGAGAGAGAAACATCAATGTGAGAGAGACATTGATTGGTTGGATCCTGCACGCACCCCAACCAGGCCCAGAGCCTGCAACCAAGGTACGTGCCCTTGGCCGGAATCAAGCCCGGGACCCTTCAGTCCTCAGGCTGATGCTCTAACCACTGAGCAAAACTAGCCAGGGCTGCTATAATCACTATTAATCCCACATTCGTCTGCCTAAATCACACAAGAACAAAGTAATTAATATGGGATTATCCATGAAAGAGACTAAGGTGAAGTACTATATTGAAATTTAGTCCTTAACATTGGTAATATCCCTTTTGGGAGTCTCAAAAATTTGAGTTATTAGTCCCATTTTTCAAAATATTAACATGAAGAAAAATCAGAACTGCGTGCCAAAAGAAAAAGTGCTTTAGCTGATAATCAACATTTCAATCCTATTTCTCACAACTAACATATTTGGTAATTCTCTACTTTAGTTTCTCTACCTATAATACTGACGTTAATAAGAATTGTAAATAATTAAAAATTATAAAGATTTGAGCAAAATAAATATTGGCTAAATGTTAAATGTCATTCTTAAGTCTTAGGCCCTTGCTTGGTCCTACATGTGTATAGATATTTCCTATATGTATTTATTTAAATAACTTAGAGTCATGTTTTTGAAAGAGAAAAATATACTATCTTCTTGAATCTGGGCCTACACATATGAAACATCTGTGGAAATATTGGAAGGATGGGGACCGTCGGGGCCTGCCAATTAAACAAGTTGGAATGGGAGTGTCTGTGTGCTTCATCAGAGCAAAATTCTCATCTCAGAGTTCTGTACTCCCTAGCAGGTCATGGTATCTGCAGGTCATCAAGGTTAGGAAGCATGATTTGACCATATTTCCTTTGGTAAGCGAGACAACTCAGGAATGTGGACATCTATTATATGTTAGAAAAGTTATTATTGATTTGGTTTACAAAAAGCATAACCTTCACAAGTTTATAAAAGTTGGGGCTAAGCCCTATGTGGTGCAGTTGGTTGAGCACCATCCCGTGCACCAACAGGTTGTTCAATTCCTGGTCAGGGCACATGCCCAGATTCGATCCCCAGTAGGGGGCATGCAGGAGGCAGCCAATCGATGTTGTGCTCTCACATCAATATTTCTCTTTCTCTCTCTCTAGCTACTAGCTACATGTGACTACTGAGTGCTTAAAATGTGGCTTGTTCAAAATGAGATGTTTGTTCTGTAAGTATAAAATACATGCTAGATTTCAAAGACTTAGTTTAAAAAGGGAAAAATATTTCTAATATTTTTAATAATGACTACATGTTCAACTTTTTTAGATCTACTGGGTTAAATATATTATTAAAGTTAGTTTCACCTGTTTCTTTTTACTTTTTTAATGTGATTACTAGGAGATTTTAAATTACAAATGTGACTCATATTTCTTTTAACAACCATGTTCTAGAACATACATCTTTAGTATCTGTGCATTTCTGAGGGATATTTATCTGAAACTGAATTAACTGGATCACAAAGTATAGGTATTTAAGATTGGAATCGAACCAGTGATCTCTTGGTGCATGGGATGATCCTGAACCAACTGAGTCTCACCTGCCAGGGCTATATATATATATATANAGTGTGTAAAGAATCAACTATTTCTACAAGGATGGTTAGGAAAAAACAGCAGTTTCCTTCCCCCATTCCATTATTTCCTCTTCCTTGATAGTTGACTGTTCTGTTTTTTACCTATATACCTGTGATCAACATGCATCTTAATTCATCATTTTTGGCATTATATTCACTTTTTCCATCAATATATTCTCCCATTATAATTTATCCTGTAATTCTGACTAGATCAGTTGTTAGCGTTTGCATTATGGCTATTAAAAGCTATTTACAGCTGTGCTATAAAGTATACCACGGTTATCTTTCCTTCCCTGTATAATTTGTTTTCCTTGGAGTTAATTATCTTTTAAATTTTATTTTACTTAGCTTTTTATACATTAGTTGCTAATCACTAATTCTAATCAAACTGTTATTCATCTAAACACTTTCAAGATATTCTGACATATCAGTATCTTAGTCAATTCATCATTTTGGTAAAACTGCTCACAAAGCCTTGTGACCACCTCTGTCTGGGACAGACTATCCTGTCCTGGGACCTCCTGACTTTACCATCATACTGAGGAGTCCTTTTGCTTCTCTTCTGTGTTGGATCTCTTGTTTCCTGGATCCCATATATTTATTCCTCTTTCTTGGTTTATTCACTCATTTCATAGCGCACATCCTCTTGTAGCTTCATAAAAAAGGGTGCATGAGAAGTAAAATTTTTGAGACCACAGATTTCTGAAAACATCTTTATTGTACATTCCAACCATACTGATAGTCTAGCTGAGTTCAGAATTTTAGGTTGAAAATAAAATTTCCCTCAGAATTTTGAAGGCATTGTTCATTGACTTCTAGCTTCCAATATTGCCATTTAGAAATGTGAAGCTATACTAAATTCTGATCCTTTCTTTGCATATGACTGTTCTCTCTTTCTGGAAGCTTGAAGGATTTTCTCTTTGTCCTCAGTGTTCTGAAATTTCACAATGATGTACCTTGGTATGGTTCTACCATCCATTACAGTGGGCACTCAGTGGGCCCCTTTGATATGGAAACAAGTCTTTATGAGTTCTGGGAAATTATTTTGTTAATGATTTCCTCCCCTCCACTTTCTTACTCTGGAATTCCTATTATTTAGAAATTGTATCTTTTGGATTGTCCTTAAATCTTATTGTTTCCCACTATTTTTACCTCTCTGTCTCTTTGCTCTACTTTCTGGGAGACTTCCTCACAACTTTATCTTCCAAACTAATGAGTTTAAATTTTTTATTATGTTTTTACTTTCCAAGAGCTCTTTTTGTTTGTTTGCTCTGAGAGTGCTCCTTTTAAAAATAGTGTCCTGTCCTTGCTTCACAGTTGCGGTATCTTTTGTTTCTGAGGATGTTAATAATGTGTGTGGGGTTTTTGTTGTTGCTGTTTGCTTTGGTCTCTATCACATTAAAGGCTTTCTTTAGAAGTCTGATAATCCTTGACTGTCTGCTTATATGTAAAAGTTGGAGATTGCGAAGTTAATTGGCACTCTGAGTACAGGGGTAGGACTTCTAAAGTTTGGATCTCACTGCAGAATGACCTTGCTAGGCCATTTCATTAGGGAAACCCTTTTCAAAAAAAAATTTTTTTTATTGATTTCAGAGAGAGGAAGGGAGAGGGAAAGGGAGGGATAGAAATATCAGTGATGAGAGAGTCATTGATCGGCTGCCTCCTGCATGCCCCCAACTGGGAATCGAGCCCGCAACCCAGGCATGTGCCCTGACCAAGAATCAAACCTCGATGTCCTGGATCATAGGTTGATGCTCAACCATTGAGCCACGCAGGTTGGGCTAGGGAAACCCTTTTGTCAGTATGCTCAGATGTTTTCTTTTGAGCTGGTCAGGTTCCCCAGAGCCAACTCAATCTTCTGCCTGGAAGGTACATACCTGGCTATCAGCATTCTGAAGGACTCAATGCGGAAGGAAGGTAGTCAGTATGCATAAAATCATTTAACCTCCATTTTTTATCAGGCTAGTACTGATAAAAAATCATTTAACCTCCATTTTTTATCAGGCTAGTAGTGCCCCCAAATGTGCCCCATACCCCCTAATCCAGAGATTCTCTATTTTGCCTTTTTAAAGAATAAATCTTTGGTCTCTGCTGAGGAGGAGGAAGAGCATCTAGGGATCTCTGGTTTTTTAAACAGCCTTTTAACCAATCTTCATTATTTTAGCACATGCCCCTCCACACCCACCTCCCCCTTATAGAAAGCCAACTTCTGAGCCTTCTGGGGATTCCCCAGTGTAAATAGGCTCTAAGCTTTCCCCTCTACAGGCACAGGATTCAGTTTTCTTGAGAATCCTAAGTCATTTAATAACTTCCCATCTGCTTTCCAGCTTCTAACATTTTGTTGCTGTTGCCTCCTCTTCTGTTTTCTCCATTCTTACAGGGATTTATGTCTTTAAAAAAATCGCTTTATCATTCTTTTAGTGTTGTTTCAGGAAGTGGTGAGAGTAGATATGTGTGTTCAATCCATCATTTTTACCTATATGTTCCTATGTGGTTTTTATAGGGCAAAAGCTGTCTCCTAACTTTAGTGAATCAACTCCATGTAAAAGCATATTCTAGACAATCGAGCCTATCAAGATGCATTTCTATGTGCAAAAGGTTTGTCTACCCCTTTATAAGAATTTCTGTTTGGTAGCTCTGGGTTCACTTGTGTGCCCCAATTAGTGGTGTCACTTAGTATGTGAAAAAACCTTTGGTCAAGAATATTAAGACAGTGACATAAGAAAAATTACGAGATATAAGTACTTCTTAAGTACTAGCGAGAATAGAAATTCAAAACAGTCCAAATGAAGTAATAAGTAATTCTCCAAGACCACATTTATTCCAGGAGAAAAAAGAGCGAGCCCAACTACATGGGTATCCACTCAGAAACAGCTCACCTGGGCTAATTAACATTCTCACCTATGCACTAAGGCACATATCACCATGGAATGAGCTACATATGCAGTCCTCTACCCAAAAAATACTTAGTTTTACACATTTTAAGTCTTTACAATTCACAGACTTGACAGTAACACACTTCTACCTTGACATTATTTTTATGGCTTATCATGAGTGGATCAAGGTTGTAGAACTAGTTTTTAAGCAGAAATCAGTATCAGAAACCATATAGATGTTTCTTAGTCAATAACAATAACCATCAATCATCTCAACAAGCAACTCGTTTACAAGTCCACATATGCAGAAAATCAGCACATATATTCCATTACCTATAGAAACCTTGCTATAAGTTTTCATTCTAAAGGAACCTGAGTTTCAGAAGCAAGCGAACATTCTACCAGCCAAGCTGAGAAGGCCAGGAAAAGGCAATAAAGGCAGTGAGTACCTGCACTGATCCCCCATGGCAGTCTGCAGCCAAGTGAGACGTCAGGTACGAGGTATTGGTCTGCCGGCTGGGCTGGATTTCCCACTCTCCTCGGCGCTCTGATGATGCAGTCTGCTCAGGCATTAGGAAGCATGAGAGCAAGACATGGAAGGAAAGGTGAAGCAACAGCAAGCAGTAACAAAATCAAGTACATTAGCATTCTTGAAGGTTTTTGTTTTGGATTTTAAATTAACAACTGCTGCAAAGCACGGGGAAAAAGTTAGCTTGGCTACATTCATTTCAGTCTAATAAGCCAATACCTGATAGTCTACAACACACCATCCTCACCCAGATATGGGGGGGGGGGAATCACCAAAGGTGGGGGGATCAAAAGTTGAAATCACCACCTTTTAGCTTTCATATTAGTAAAATTTCAGTAGCCACTAAGCAGACCAAATTCAGAATGTTAAGACTGCTAAACAAAGGAACAATCATATTTACAAATCATTTCACTGACTAAAGAATAATCTAAATAGACAGCAGTCAATACAGAAAATTCCTAGCTATTGTTAGGCATCAAGATAATATGCCTTTTCCTTAAGGAGGCCCACTACTCTCAACATAAACCTCCAAGAGACTTCCACCCAGACAAAACGAGCAGTGGCAGTGGCTGGAATATGCTTTCTTAGCTGAAAGAATGAACAAAGAGCATCTCTTCAAAAGCAGGTTCACAGGCCAAGAATATGAAAAGATGGGAGGAAATAAGGCTAACAGAGCCTGTTAACCCCTACTACGCTCACTCCTCTATCACACAATTGATGGGCAGTTCTACACAGAATAAGGAGGCTCTTTAGGCATTATCATCAATGTCATGTCCGTGCCTTGATTTCCAAATAAGCTCTCTGGTTTTCTTTTGAGAGCCATTATCTGCCTACTAGCCATCTTCAGCTGGAATACACTGCCAGTATTTCAAACTCAAGATGTCTAAATTCAACCTCCAAATAAGTTTCTCCCCCAACTTTCCCATTTCTAGTAATAGGACCACAAGCCTCCTCATTATCCAGGCTTAAAGCCTCAGCAGCAGCTCTGACTCACCATCCTCCTCAGCCCTGACATACATGTGGGCTGCGAATTCTGGCAGATTATATCCCTGTGTCATTTTTCAATTCTATCTCATTTTTACTATTACAACCCATCAAGGACCCCGTTGGCTCTCAAGCGAACTCACTGTCTTATTGGTCTGCCTGCTGGCTGCCGGGCTGTTACTATCTTCTGGGCCCAAAAATTTCTAAAGCGAAGTTTTGGTCCTTATCACTCCTCTGTTCTAACACCTCTAGTACTCAATCCCTACTGAAAGTAAGTACCGATTCTCCAGCCCAGCATTCCAGGAGCTTCATTAAGTGACTCTAACCTAGTTTCCTAGACTGTCTTCTATATTCACACCAAATATTTTAGGAGAAAGAACTAGATAATTTGCTGTTACTCATATTTCCTTTTTTATTTTCATTTGCACTTAATTCTTCTAAAAGCATTTCAAATGCAGCCTCTTTCACGAAACTCTTTGTCATGCTCATTCTAGGTGAAATGTCTCCTTCTAACCCCTGATTATTTGAGATTTGGGAAGCTTATCTATTCTGTCTTGTGTTTTTCTTATCTGGCTACTTGGCTTCTCTGCTTGTCAGTTCTTGGAGAACAAGGACTCCCTACTTATCCTGGTATCCCCAGGACATACTTTCACAGAGTAGTTCCTCAGCTAGATTTACTGAGTCAAAGTTGCTGAAAAAATGTATGTTGTCACTAACATTAATATCTTTCCATCTCTCTCAAGAAGAGATTTTATTTTCTTCTTTCACTGATTTCAAAACTTGGAAGAGTCTAAAAAAAATCATACTGCTTTCAATCCCTAGAGTCATAAAAGGGACATATTTAATTGCAATTTTAAAAAAAGCCTAAGAAAACAACCCTAATAAAAGAATATAAGCCATGAGACCACAGACTACACACAGTGTAACAGCTTAACAGACACTAGAAATCCATTTACCCATAGTGCACAGGGCACAAAGAATTCTACCCAGCAAGAATTCAGAATCCTACTGGGAAGGAGGTAAAAATTTGCATTAATATGGGGAATTTCAATCCCTCAGCAGCCATGGGATACTAAAAGTTCTGAAAGGGAAAAAAATCAGAGCGATCTTCAGATTAAACTCTTCAAAATGAAGCTTATTGCCTTTCAGGTGAGATTTCCTAATTACATACACTGGTTTAATAACCTTTTGTTTAAAAGTACATTGCTATTCACTGTACTTTCTCAGATACTAAATATGACCTTATTTTCCACTCTGACAATATAAGTTTTCAATCATCACTTGTTCCCATACTTTTAAAATCCATTCAAAAGAGCAGCATTGATTATGAATTCACTGAAGCAGAAAAGACCAGGAAGCCAAAGGAAACACACGTTTTAGTTTACAAATATTCCAAAAAATGCAAAAAGGTAGATATGCTGATTAGATTTCACTGATTACCTAAGTTATTTATTTTTCCACATCTTTTCTATTTAAATGCATTTTTTTTTTTTTTAGGCAAATTTCAATACAGGCATTTTCATTATAAGGTAATATAAGTTCATTATAGAATAGTTTAGAAAAAATATTACCCACACCCTGGCCAGTTTGACTCAGTGGTTAGAGCACTGGCCCAGGGATAGAAGGGTCTTGGGTTCAATTCCCTGTCAGGGCACATGAGGGAGGCAACCAATCAATGTATCTCTCTCACATAGATGCTTCTGTCTCTCCCTCCTTCCCTCTCCCCCTCTCTTCTACTCCCTGAAAAGCAATGGAAAAAATATTCTTGGGTGAGTATTAACAAAAATAAATAAATAAATAAATAAATAAATAAATAAATAAATAAATATTACCCACCATACTACATCTTCCAACACTAGTTCTGTTAATATTCTGGCATTATTTCCTCCCACTGATTCTCTCATCTTCCCTTCCCCTGAGGGAAGTCTTGAGGCACTTCTAATTTTGTATTCTGATTTCCTCACTATACAAACCATAAATATTCTCAGGTTGCTACAAATTTTTCTAAATATTCTTTTAAGTGACTATATAATATTTGCAAGTCACTTTATTATAACCCAGTTTATTCGATAAAGGATTTGAGCTGGATCCATAACCATTCCTTTATAAATGGAGAGGTGGGTCATTTCTAAAACTTTGCTACAAATGACACTGTGACAATTTTATACATATAACTTAACCATTATCTTGGGTTAATTATGATTGATTCCAAGAGTAAGATTATTGTATCAGAGAGGACAGTAACTTTATCAAATTACTTTCTAGAGTATTTGTAACAATTTGCAAAGTCAAGAGCAATGTATGAGAGTGTCAGTTTAACTGTACTCAACTATGCTTTTAGAAAAAGGGATAGGAGAGAAAAGAACTGCAGAAGTCAATAGTATTCTGTCAAGTCAGAAGTCAGTCAAATTACAATTTTTAGCCAACTACTTTGATCAAAGCATGTAATTATGGACCCAATTTGCTAAACTTCATCTTTTGGCCTATCTACTCTCTCTTTTATCTACTCTCTAATATATAGATTTCCTTACTTTACACATATTTTTTTCTTAGCCACCAAGCCGCACATTTTGCGAAGAGTATCTACTTACTGGTATGTCTGTCTATATTTTGTATGTACTTCACTGTACATACATGTGTGTATATATTTATATATACTATTTTTAACCTATGTACTTTCACATGTGCATCTGTGAGATGATAAGTGTTGTTGCATTTTATTGTAAAAGTGCCCGAATATAAAAAAGTGAGGTCAGGAGTGAGGGGAAACAAGCTAATTTGATAGGTGATAATGCTTCTGTGTGTATGCATGTGCAAGCACACATGTACATGTTTATCTACTTATTATTCTTTGCTTATTTATCTACTGGAGTCCTCATTTTTCTTTTAGCAACATATTATGATATAAAGATAATCATCATATTCACTTCCCAATCAGTTTCTCCTTTCTTTAAATGATGTCAAATTCATTGATTTTTGTGCATGTGTTTGACTCCTCTGTCTTTAGGCTAAGAGAAGCCTCATCTAAACCACTAGTTTTCCAAACCACGAACATTGAAAGAGAGATGACATGGTCCTCCATGGAGTGGCCTAAAGCAAAGCTGAGTCTTCATTCAAAACTCTAGAGTTAACCTGGGTACAGGGACAGAGGTGGAGTGGAGGTGCCAGCTTATTCCCAGGTCATCTGAAGTCCAAATTACCCGTCCTTCCTAACCAGCACTGGCAAGAGCTGCACTCTGGAGTGCCAATGAGACCTGAAATGGGCTAGCCTGTATATCCTGTATGCCCAGCAGGTCCTTTCAACCAAGAGATTCCGACAGGCCCAGATTCTCTAGAGTGGATGCTTCACGTAAGGCACCTGGCTACATCTCAGTGCCATTACACAAACCCTGAGGGATGCTAGAACGCCACCACACAGTGAAAACTGACAAGGCTTTTGTCTTTAAATTCAATATATATACTTAAGCAGAAAAGCTGAAGAATTTGGGTGTGAACATTAGCCACAAATAAAGGAAATGTCTGAAACAATGAAGGTCCAATACATACCTGATTTCGTAGAGGTTGTTGTGATGGCCGATCCCTGTGTGTGTGACTTTCTCGAGTTATTGCAGATGCACCAGAATCTACATGAACTGACCCTACTGGAGTAGGCTGGAAAAATATAACAAAAAGTCAAATGGGGAAAACAGGTCCAACTTAATGCCTTGGCAAAGGACAGCATCATTCAAATTCTAATAGAATAGCAGTAATTATTATTTTCAGCCATCAAGGGCAGTTTCAAGTCTTCTTGTCTTCTCAGTTTGTTTATCTGCAAAAGGGATGCAGCTTGGTCCTCAACAGTTCATTGAAGAGTAGCTTACCTTTGAAAATAAAGAAACATCCTGCAGTGATGTCTGTTAGCATGCTCTCACGCCCTGTGACCAACCCCTGGCCAGAGGGGCAAATTCAAAAGTGTCCTAAGGTACTAGGTTACACTCCCATAGGAGTCAAGCATCTTAACAGCTTATGTAGCACCAGCTTCTGGATCATTCAAATGAAAATTCTTCTTTAAAACTGCCTTAAATCCTGGTCTCTTGGGACATACTGGTCATAAGCTTAAAAACATACAAAGGGAGTTACTCCTATGTCCTAACTTTAGTAAGAGAAATCTATAGCATCATCCTGAAAAGGGTGGTAAACGTAAAGTCTAGTCAAAGGAATGCACACCCCCCCTAGATTTAAGCAGAAAGTCTGGCAAGGAAAAGGGTGAGGTAGTGCTGGTCTGAGGTGAGGAGGTAAAAAGGAGATACTCACAATAGGCCTCCCAACCCAATCATAGGCGTAGTCAAAGGTGTAGCCTTTCCTTTCAAAGAGGTCTGTGAAGAGGGTCCGTAAATACTCATAGTCAGGTTTTTCAAAGAAGTCTAATCGCCTGACATATCGCAGGTAGGTTGCCATCTCCTCTGTTAGGAAAGAGGTGAAAGGCCATGCTCATTAACTGAATGCTTCCCATGGGCAGAAGCTCTGGGCCAAGCAAGGAATACTGTACAGGTTATTTGATACTGGTGTTTTCTTTATGGACCAATGAAAGTGACAACACCTACCTTGGTCTAAATAACAATAAAAGAAAATTTAAGTTTTCTGGGGAGTACCTTTATCTAGAGAGCCAGGTCACGGTCTTCACCTGCTTCAAAGCTCTAATCACATTTGCTGGAGTTCTTTCAACATCTTACCTGGGAAGTTTTCACAGAGTGCTTCAATGGGAGTATTCCTTTTGGTGTCACCAATTTTTTGATATCTCTCTTTTAATGTATCAGCCTATAGACAGTAAAGAGAGAAAGTTATTTGGAAAGAGGTGCTAAGTATGGGAGGTCCAGTATGTTTGAGAACACAATGGTTGTTTCACTCAAGCTGGCCAGGATTTGTTAGTCTCAATTGTTTTTCTCTCTAACACTAACAAATAAGAAATGTAGTAGAGATGATGTATTTAAATGTGTACAAAACATATGCTCTCTTCTGGAATGTTTACTTGAAAATATATTTAGTAGTCTCAGAAAAACACCATCAAATGTAATGAGACAACTGGCTAGGATAAGAAAATAAAATTGCAGAAGCTTAGTAATCTCTCATAGCCACTAGAGTTCAAAAGTGATTCACCCTTTCCCTGGCTGGCTGGCTCAGTTGGATGGAGTGTCGTCCCATACACCAAAAGGTGGCGGGTTTGATTTCTGCTCAGGGTACATGCCCAGGTCTTGGGTTCAATTTGTGTGCAGGAAGTAACCAGTCGATGTTTCTCTCTCCCCCGTCCTCTCTCTGGAATCAATTTAAAAAAAGAGTTAGCCTTCGCCTTCTTAGATCAGCTTTATGATGAGATTAAAAATATTGCTAATCCAAGTGCGGCCAGATAAATAGATGGCTCTACATCATATTTATTGTGAAGCAGAATAGAAAAAAGAACAAGAAGTAGAAAACAATGCCTTTCTACAATGTGGTACCAGAGGGAAAAATGTTATCCATGATACCAGCATGGCTAACAGACAGGTTTGACACACGTGTCAGTGGTTCAAAGCAGCCAAGTTTGGTTTGCTCAGGACTATAGACAGAAGCTTCTGGAGCTTGGACCAACATTGTGGTCTCAAGGGAGTCTCTTGAGGCTATATCTAGCCTGCTGTATCTAGCTTTAAGCAATAATGTTCTAAAGTAAGATGGAGAAATTACAGATCTACAACTATCACTAAAATGATTCATGGACTGTGAGAAAGTTTCAAGCAATTAATAATACATACATGAATGCATTGTTTGGCTATATAATGAGCAAATAGGATGTGAAACTCTATTTGACAACTGTCAATATCAATGAGAAGATATATATGTCTAGGAGAAGACCATGGAAGAGATGTCAAGAGAGGAAGTTAAGGGGAAAGAAATATAATCTTCCCAAAGGGAAGGGGTAGAAGCCTTATATTGTAGGACAATGTTCTAGAGAACACAGCATAACAAGTCATTCTGCCCTTTTGGAGGGGGTAGAGGGTGTAAGAGTACCCAAAGCTACTGATTCTTTCCACGCCAATGTGTTGATGCAAATTAAACTCAAAAATATGTCTCACATTAACTGTCTAATGGGACTTAGCATGGGTTAGAAGCTTACCATTTTCTACTCTACAGCCAGAGGCACAGAGTAATTACAATGGTTATATTTATAATTAATAATTAACTCTGACATAAATGTACTGTACTTACACCTACCAAAGGAAGGGTATTTAAACTACATGTTTCACAAAGAATGGCTATTGTCTGCATAGGCATTTATTCAATAAAACACTTGAACAGCAAAGTTAAACCTGGATTTTTGTTTTAGTTCAGGTGAGCACTCAGCCTATATAGGATGAACAAATATTTCCAGTTTCCCTTAGGGATGCACCCAGCCCTGCTGGCTTTGCTGGTAAAATGTGTAGCAGCTGCTGTCAATTTGTTCCAGAAATTCCCCAACACACTGGGAACACTCGTCTTGCTACATAATGGTAGTGGAGGAGGATACTGACTGAGAGAAAAGCAGCACTGCCAAGGCTGGGAGGGAATGAGGGAAGAGACTATGGAAAATCCAAAAACAAGGAAGAAGGATTCAGATGGGGAAGACGACAAATGTAAGCAAAACAGAGCTTCCAAAGCCCAGGTGAGCATTTACAATATAGACTAATGTAACTAGTCCCTGCTTCTCATTTCTGTAGCCAATCATCTCCTTTGTGCTTCTTGCAGATATCAAGTCAGCAACCCCTTCATTAACAACTGAGTATTGAAACAAAGCCCTCCACTGAGCACTTTCAAGGATACCTTGAGTCCTTGCCAGGGCAGGCTGCCTCGAAGGAAATACATGAACATATGGCCTAGGGCTTCCAAATCATCCCGCCGGCTTTGCTCTAAAAGGGAAGACAGATCACACATTACATTTGCAGTTAATAAAGTAGAAAGGGGCTCAAAACCAAACAGTCCGTTCAGAAACCCTCCTGCTCTGGAAAGGTTCTGCTTACTAATTCTTTGTTTATCTAAATCAGGGATAGTATTTTAGATTAAGACAGAAAAACAATGTGTACCTCCTTCGCCTAGATCTGTAACTGGCAAGTAAATATCAAGTGAAAAGAGCAAATCTGAAACTAAAACCAAGTCCAAATCACTAAACAGTGAGTAGCCACCCCTCATCCAATGCTGTCACCTTCCTGAAAGTAAGATCAATTAAATGAAAGGTTATTTTCAGTGCATGGGCTACAATTATCCTTGTTTACCATCAGAGAAGGTGAGCAGCAGACTAGCTAAAGCTGTTAAAATTGTCCATTCTGGCTAGGCCTGCAAAGGCACAAGCATGGCTAGTGCTTTTTATTTGTCATAAAAATAAAAACTAATATCAAAATTTAATTTGATATAATTGAACATCAATGTATAATCTCTCAGCTCCATTCCATTTGTGCCATGTTCCATAGCCACCTTAAGAAAAATTAAAAATTTATTACTAAGGCGCCCTTTATGGGCATATAAAACAGGATCCCTGCATTCTAGGAGCTTATCATGTAAGACAAATTGCTGGGTTTTTCTCTCTTTTAGTTGGAATGATTAAAACGGTAAGGAACTGCAGAATAGTTAATAAAAAATTGTAACTTCATCTCAGAAAACATCCGATACCACCTCTGGTTGTCAGACTGAATTTAAATAGTACACGCCTCCATTTCTAATTTGACAATAACGGTTCATCTCAGACATTTTATGTGTGTGTTTTTTTCCCCCAGAATCAAGTTTAGGGTTTTATAAGAAAAAATTACAGAAGCAAGACTAAGGGGCTACCTTAAATTTGTGCTTCCACTGTACAGAAAGTAAAACCCAGGAGAGTCTGGGGGACAAGGGACTACTTAGCTAATTCAAAATACCAAGGCACAACATGTTTAATTGCTGCCATCAATTATGGGCAATTTACATGAAAAAGAGTACTACTCTACAGGATAGAAAAACAAAGAAAGATTTGCTCTTTCTAATTTGCTGTTGGAAGGTTTTTGGAAAGGTGGTCACTAATGGCAAGGAGGATTTTGGAAAGGTGATCACTAATGGGAAGGATGATTTTGAAAAGGTGGTCACTAAAGGGACCCTGATAAGATATATAAATAACATAACTTTGAATACATCAATTGAAATGATCTTTAAAAGAATAAAACAGCAAAACCAGGAGCTTTTGCCTACTCAACTTGCCTAAAATTTGCAATAAATTTTATATGTAATTGAAAACAAAAAGCCATTAGACAAATGCAGAGTTTGTTAACAGAATTTAAAGATAAGCAAATTAAGAGAGAAAGCAGCAGCAGGGTCAGTCGAGGCCTCCCACAAATCAAGACAGATAGAGAAATCACACCCTGCAGTTTCTCACACAACATCACACCTACTCATCAGCTCTCCATTTTTATATCCACTTCCTGTAACAAGAGGCCCCTTGGTAATAAAAAATTTACTGGAAAAATGGTTGCACTTTAGTTAGTTGAGCACAAGAGGGCGAAACTCTCCACATTTTCAATATTGAAAAAAAGGCCAACTTCTTTCTTTTCATAGCAAAGACCATTCATTATGAGTTTTTTTTCTTAATTTTTAAATTTTATTTTTGTTTAAAATATTACAGATGTCCCTTTTTCTCCCCAATGACCCATTCCACCCAGTCCCATCCCCCTCCCCAGTCCCTCTCCCTACCATTGTCCGTGTCCTTGGCTTGTGCATATATGCATATAAATTCTTTGGTTACTCTCTCCCCCTCCACCCACCTGCCCTCCTCCATCCCTCTGACATTCGTCAGTCTCATCTATGCTTCCATGTCATTGGATACTCTGTTCATCAGTTTATTAAGTTCTTTAGATTCCACATATAAGTGAGATCATGTGATGTTTGTCTTTCTCTGCCTGGCTTATTTCACTTAGCATAATTTTCTCCAGGTCCATCCATACTGTCCCAAAGGGTATGAGATTCTCCTTCTTTACAACTGCATAGTATTCCATGCTGTAAATGTCCCACAGCTTTTTTATTGCCTCATCTACTGATGGGCACTTGGGCTGTTTCCAGATCTTAGCTATTGTAAACTGTGCTGCTATGAACATCGGGGTGCATATATTCTTTCTGATTAGTGTTTCAGGATTCTTAGGATACATTCCTAGAAGTGGAATCATTGGGTCAAAAGGCAGCTCCATTTTTAATTTTTTGAGGAACCTCCATACTGTTTTCCATAGTGGTTGCACCAGTCTGCATTCCCACCAGCAGTGTACTAGGGTTCCCCTTTCTCCACACCCTCGCCAGCACATGTCGTTTGTTGATTTGTTGATGGCAGCCATTCTGACAGGTGTGAAGTGATACCTCATTGTGGTTTTAATTTGCATCTCTCTGATGATTAGCGACGTTGAGCATTTTCTCATGTGTCTCTTGGACATCTGTATGTCCTCTTTGGAGAAGTGTCTATTCAAGTCCTTTGCCCATTTCTTAATTGGGTTGTTTGTCTTCCTCTTGCTGAGTACTATGAGTTCTTTGTACACTTTGGAAATTAGCCCCTTATCAGATACATCCTTGGCAAATATGTTTTCCCAGACCGTGGGGTTCCTTTGTATTTTGAGGCTGTTTTCTTTTGCTGTGCAGAAGCTTTTTAGTTTGATGTAGTCCCATATGTTTATTTTTTCTTTTGTTTCTCTTGCCCTAGGAGATGTATCAGTGAAAAGTCCACTACGTGGGATGTCTGTGACTTTACTGCCTATGTTTTCTTCCAGGATTTTTATGGTTTTGTGACTTACATTTAAGTCTTTTATCCATTTTGAGTTTATTTTTGTGTATGGTGAAAGTTGGTGGTCTAGTTTCATTCTTTTGCATGTATCTGTCCAATTTTCCCAGCACTACTTATTGAAGAGACTGTCTTTACTCCATTGGATAATCTTGCCTCCTTTGTCAAATATTAACTGACCATAATGGCGTGGGTCTATTTCTGGGGTCTCTGTTCTGTTCCATTGATCTATATGCCTGTCGTTGTACCAATACCAGGCCGTTTTGATTACAATGGCTTTGTAATACAGTTTGAAATCTGGTAATTTGATCCCTCCCACTCTGTTCTTTTTTCTCAAGATGGCTGCAGCTATTCGGGGTCTTTTTTGGTTCCATATAAACTTTCTAAATGTTCGATCTAGGTCTGTGACATACGCTGTTGGTATTTTAATAGAAATTGCATTGAATTTATAAATTGCTTTGGGTAGTATGAGCATTAATTCTTCCAATCCATGAGCACGGTATATTCTTCCACTTGTTTAAATCTTCCTCTATTTCTTTTTTCAGTGTCACATAGTTTTCCGAGTACAGGTCTTTTACATCCTTGGTTAAGTTTATTCCTAGGTATCTTATTTTTTTAGTTGCAGTGGTAAATGGTATTGTTTTTTTAGTTTCTCTCTCTGAAAGTTCACTGTTGGTGTATAGTAATGCCATTGATTTCCAGATGTTGATTTTGTACCCAGCTACCTTGCTAAATTTGTTTATCAAATCTAGTAGTACTTTGATGGAGTCTTTAGGGTTTCCTATGTACACTGTCATGTCATCTGCAAATGATGACAGTTTTACTTCCTCCTTTCCAAGAGATATTTTTAAATAAAACAATAATAAAATAAACATTTAAGCTCACTGGAATAATAAAGTAACTTTCAAAAACTGAGAACCATAAAGAATAGCTGTGGAATATGGGATAATAGGAAAAACAATGGTTTTGGAGTCAGGTCATCTGGACCTTGACCCATCCTTTCCATTCATTTTGTCCATGTGAAATTCAGCATGACCAAGTCATCTACTTTGGGCCTAAATTTCCTCATCTGAAAATAAAGCTGTTGATTTAGATAATCTGAAAAGTCATTTTCCAGCTCTAAAATAATCTATGATAATTCAAGCCATTAGGACCTTTCAAGAAAAAAAAAGTGAAAACAAGAGCCATGCTTTACCTCCATATTTCTTTGACCATTCTACATTCAAGTCAGTATTTCCATCTGCCCTTGTTTATTCATGCAAGATATTTTCATTTTTAAAGAAGAAAGATTTCAATACCAATGAGACCTGTAGGACACAAAATGCTTCCACACCATAAAGGCTTGCTTTCAACCAATCAGAAAAATGTGTTTGGTTTACACACATAGGCATCCCTGATTTTAGGTCAAATACACTTTGTTGTAGGAAAGAGGCTGGGTGACACAGTGTTCTCATCCTAACTTCAATGATTAAAGAATACTTAATGAGCTGCCTTATTAATCAGGGCTTAATCAGTGGGGAAGGTGGCTAATCTCAAGTGGCAATGTCAGGTTTTAGGAAGCATCTTCCCTATTCTGTTCCCTCACAAAATTAATAAGCAATTCTCTCTAAGTCATTTAAAGATACACTTCCCTTTTTCTTCATTACAATATAAAAGATGCCTACACATTTAAAAATTTGTGTTTGTTTTTCAGACTCAAGTTTAGGGCTTTACCATCCATGATTTCATCTCAAGTTGTATCTCACTACTTTGTAATGTCATTTTTGCTTTTCACTAACACTAATAGGACTAAAGTTCCTTGAAACCCTGGCCAGAGTTTAAAGGGCATTTGACAACCATCTATATATATTCCCTGTGATACTGAAAGGACAAGATATGGTGACAGGTTGAATCTGACCTGAAAAACTCTATAATTAGGAAGTCCAAGTTTGGAGATAAACTCTTAAGTTCCAGTAGAAATGGCTACACCAAGAGATGAAGGAACCCAGTCTGACAAAAGTAGATGCTTAAAACATTTTGTTGAATAAGTAAGTGATAATTACCACTGTAGAGTCTTTACTACTATCAGGCACTATGCTAAGCACTTTATATGCATTTTTTTCACAGAACCCTATGATATAAAGTACTATTATCATACCCATTTCATAGATGAGATAACTGAGGCTGAAGGAGGAAGGTTACTGAACCAAAATCACATAGCTTTAAATGAAAGAGCCAAGATTTATATCCCTTTTTCTTAATCATTATACTGTACCTTATACAAACAGAACACACACACACACATACACTCCTCCCCTTGTCTGTTCCTACCTTTCCTGAGAATAATGAAATCAGAATACAAATTGCTGAGCCCAGGAAGCAGACATTGGAACAATAATTTCTAGAGTCTGTCAGTTAAACCAAGCAATTATGACTTTACTATTTACAACACAGTCTGTCTCCTTGTAAAAAGAAGAGAATATTGAGCACTATACAAGAGACTTGTGTTACATATATTACCCATTAATCCTTGTGAAATATTACTCTTATTTTACAGATAAGTTTCAGGAAGATTAAGTAAATTACCCAAAGTGACATTGATAAGTAGCAGAGGACCTTCTAGTCTAATCTTAAAGTATTACATTTAGTTAAGTGAGGATGCCTATGTGGTTACTGAAAAAATTCTGACAACACTCATTTCAACTAAAGTTGTATCATATATTATGTTGTAATGTCATTTTTGCTCTTCCCTAATACTAACTCATCAGCTGATACCCGTGCTGTTTATTCAATGAGGCAATTTTGCTGCTATTTATCTTAGTCTTTAAAATACTTATTAGTGTACAACAGTCATTAATATTTGAACACCTGACATAATTAGCTATGTCGGAGACTGTGGAACCTGACAATATTCCGTTCATATGACTACTCTCTAAGGTGGTGATTTTCAAACATATTTTTTCCATCACTGTGGAACTTGGTCTCCAAATAGAATCTTCCATGAAAAACCAATATAGAAAACAGATACTGTAAGAGGGAAGCTTTTCTGGAGAAGCTGATAAGGGGCCGAGGGCCCTGAGGATTTGTCCTTCCACTGTTCTTTAGGCTTCTCTCACAAGTCCTCTTCCTGGATTAGTTCCTCTCACAAGAAAGGCATTTTGCCTTGATTAGAGCTTTTTCAAATATTTGTGCAAACTGTCTATTCCGAATAAAATGCAAAACTCATGGAAAAGCAAACATATTTTCACTAAATAAGACATAGGCTCTTCCTTAACGAATTATTCACAGGATTATGCACAGTGAATAGAAGCCTAAGCCATGTTTCAGTGAAGCACTCTTCCCCAAAGGAGGTATCAGCCTGATGTCATATGTAAGGTCATGCATACCAAACTCATCACTAAACTTACTCAAATGCTATCACCTATACAGTAATTCCATTACCCACCTGCTAAGAAACTAAGCACTTGGAAAAATAGTACAGCTGATCCTTGAACAACATGGGGGTTAGGGGCACCAACTGCCTGCAGTAAAAAATCCTCATATAACTTCTGACTCCCCCAAAACCTAACTACTAATAATCTACTATTGATAGGAAGCTTTACCGATAACATAGTGGATTAACATGTATTTATATGTTATATGTATTGTATATTGTATTCTTACAATAAAGTAAGCTATAGAAAATACATTTACAGTATTCATCAGAAAAAACCCATATAAGTGGATCTGTGAAGTAAACTCATGTTATTCAAGGGTCAACTGTATAAAGACTTAAAATCCTTAAGTTGTCAACAGGATACTCAGAAAAGTCACTAACCATCTTAAGTTCTCAAGTATAAAAATCACTTACCTTACGAAGCAATAAGAATCACAAATTGTAATGCACAATGGGGACAAAGTGTTACTTGGGTAAAAAGTTGTTTTAAAAACCTGCCCTGTTGATGGAGCAGAAAATAAACACACCTTTGCCAAGATGCGTGTTGATAGACATATATCTTGCAGTTCCAGTTAAACTTTTGTGCTCCCTATAAGGTATATGCTTTTTGGTTTCAGGGTCAATGTATTCCTTGGCCAGTCCAAAGTCTATAATGTGTATAACATGCTCTTTCTTATTGCCTTGTCGGCCAATCAGGAAGTTTTCTGGCTTGACATCTCGGTAGATGAGATTCTTTGAGTGCACATATTCCATTCGAGAAAGCTAAAAGAAAAAAAACAAATACTCTAAAGAAGTTTGTTGAAAAAATACATCAAAACATTTTCTTTATCAGCCCAAGGTTTTACTTACTGAAATGAAAATGAAACTCATTTCTTCTTTACCACCCAGAGTTACTTTACTCCTGTACACCAGAAAATATTTTCTGATACTAATATCCACATAATATCGAGATAAAAGAGTGGGATAGGACAGTTCAGCTAAACCTTATAATGTTACAATTTGCGAACGATAAACAGAATTAAGTGTTTTCATGCTATTTCAGAAAGTAAGTATTTGAGAGGCAAGAAGTATTTATTCTCAGACAAATAACAAAATATGTTGGCAGCCTTTGAAGACAGTGCCACTACCACATTTACCTCCTGCCCACACCTTCCTATCAGTTGAACAGAACTCCCCAACTCAGTTCTCTTCATTGCAGAAATAAGGGAAGTGAGGCCCAGAGAAATTAATAGTGGACTGATATCACAGAGCTGATCAGTAGCAAAAGTAAAGGTGCAGTTTATATGTGAAAGCAAAAATAGCCAAAAATAATAATAAAATTATTTCAAATTTCATTTCTAGTTACAAAGCTTTTCTCCTTACTTAGTATAGAAAGAGAAGCATAGACATTTGAATTTTTGCCTCAAAAGATAAAGTCAATTTTCCAGCATTTCCAAGTTTTTGCTGTAAAGTGGAGGAGACCATCACCATCCCAGAGCAGTAAAGATGCATTTGCATTCTCCCCTGAGAGGCTGACAAACTTGTTGAAGGAAATGTCTTATATGCTCCCCAAACTGGTAATGGTGTATAATTTGGTGGGAGTTGAGAGAGCTGCCTTTTTAGTTGTGTCATTCTGTGAGAACTAAAGGCCAGAGAACTAAGGCAGGTTCTTGGTCACACAATTTCGGAATCTGATTGTTAAGGCAGTGGGTTACATCTCCAATCTCTTCTTGGATGCAACAGTAAGGGGAGAGGAAGGACATAACAAAAACTTACAGTCATGTTTTTAAAACTATAAATAAAACATCTAAGAAGTTATTTGCATTTGTACAACTTCACCTAATCACCCTCTTTCTCCCTCACTGAAATTATAAGCTTTCACTTCAGATAAGGGCAGGGTACTGTCCCGAGGTACAAATTCTTAAAATAGAGCAAATGGCAGATGCAGTGTGACTTTTCTGAGTTAGCCCTTTTTGCTGGCGCCAGCTTCCTAGAACGCCATCAAGCCTGTGAGTGTGCATTCATTAGGTGTCACTAAATCTGATAAGTTACCAAAAGGGACAAAAGGATGTGTTGGGGCCGTGGGGAGGATAGGACCTGACTAACCCTTTGCAGAATAGCAAAGCCAACTTACCAACTGGATGGCTATCATTAACACAGTCTTCAAAGTAAAAGTTCGGTCACAGAGGTCAAACAAGTCCTCCAAGCTAGGGCCGAGGAGCTCCAGCACCATGGCATTGTACTTCCCACATGGTCCGAAGTAATACACCTGTGGGAGACCTTCACCTGAAAGCAGAAAATAAAATATGAGATAGCTGTATCAGCACTGAGTAAATATAAAGTACAATTTGTGAGATTTCCATTTTCTTTCATAGTCCCTATTGGAGAACTAAACTGAGCACAATAGCTTCAAAGGGAACTAATAAAGGTTGGGAACGGCTAAGTCATTACACAGTAAGTTCAAATAAGCAGTTATTTAATACCAGAGTGCCTTTCCACTGCTATATTAAGACCGAGAATTGTCCTTGATCCATTACTTGATCAGAATTTAAACTACTCTTCCCCAACGATGCCTCTAAGTGCACTATCATAATAGGTTCAAAAGATGGCTTGCTGAGCTCAAAGGTCAGGCTAGCAGACCTTGTTGCATTAGCCGGTTTAATTTGCATTTCCTATGCTTATTGCCACAGCCACATATGAAGCTGTCTGCAACTGTTGCCCCAAGGAAAATCAGACCAAAGGGGTGAGTCACAGATGGTTCAACCTGGCCCTCTTCTCACAGGGAGGCTCCGTAGTTTCCTGTTTTCTATTAGCTGGAGCAAAGTCGACAGATAGGGTTTGGTTACTGATAAGTAATTATGAAATGAAAAGGAAAAAAAAATACAAGGCTTGGTTTTCCCCAGATTTAAAATTCATAGCTATAAGAAGCCAAAATCTAGACTTTCTTACCTAAGTCGCAACTTGTGAATGCATTACCTCTTTAAAGTGTACTGTAAATATGATGTATACAGTAAATGTGTGTTAGATAACACTATGTGAACAGTGATTATGAATGAGGCCCAGGACATTTAAAAAATCTTGTCTCATAAAGCAGAAACACTTCCATCTTACAGTTACGTATACCATGGTCTACAATTGTATATGATGCAGATTTCTGCTTGCTTTTGCCTTCAAGTGCCTTTATGAAAGAGAGTTTTCACCAGGTGAAGACACAACAGGAAGTCGGCAGACTGCCACCCAGAGGAGGGCCTTCACCAGAACCTAACCAACCATGCTGGCACACTGATCTTGGACTTCCAGCTTCTAGAACTATGAGAAATAAACTTCTGTGTTTATAAGCCATCCAGTATGTGTGGTATTTTGATATGAGTTCAAATGGACTAAGACAGTATGTATTACTTAAAACTTTAACCTACTGTGCCCATCATTCTCTTCAGGATAGGTCTTGTATATCTGGAGTTAGTATGATTCATGGCTATGATGTGTGGTTTAATTATTGCATGTGCTGCACTGGTCTATTCTGTTCCATCTAAATACTAAACAATTTGGGTGTTTTAATAAGTTCATTCCTAGCTCAGATGGATCACCTAATTTAGTATACTCTGTTCCTACTAGCTCCATAAATGTTGTCTTTGTGGTTGTTTGAGTCTTCCTATTTCCAAAAGGAAACAGATTTAATTTAAAATGTCTTTTCCCCCCATTGTTTTGAAGAATTCATTCTTCAGTTTATTTAAAATATATAAAACTTAACAGCTGTTCCCAATTAGTCCTGCTGAGAATCCAAAGCAGAAGACTGTCATGAAGACTTATTGCTCTTATTAATAAAAAATATGGTAGATTGGGGATGCTTTGTTTTGTTTTGTTGTTGTTTTTTTAAATTTTATTTTTGTTTAAAATATTACAGATGTCTCTTTTTCTCCCCAATGACCCGTTCCATCCCTCTCCACTGGGGATCTTTTGTTTTTTAATTTTAATTAAAAATATATATTTTTATTGATTTTAGAGAAAGAGGAAGGGAGAAAGAAACATCGATGTGAGAGAGAAACATCAAATTGCTGCCTCCTGTATGCATCCCGACCAGGGATAGAACCTGCAACCTGGGTATGTGCCCTGACAGGGAATCAAACCAGCGACCTTTGAGTGCATAGAACGACGCCCAAACAACTGAGCCACACCGGCCAGGGCAGGGGATCTTTAGTTTTTGATGTTGCTAAAATTTCATTTTCCTAATAAAGTGTTATATTCTTGAAAACAGGTTGTAGCAGATCTGTTGGTTGCCTGCCCAATATCCACTCTCTTCTTCTTTCTTAATAACAGAACTTCTAATTACAGTGAATAGCAACCTTCCCAGTTATACCTTTCCAGCCTCTCTTGATAATAGGAATGACCAGCAAGATGGAAGCAGAAATTGTTGAATGAGGTTGTTCTAGAAAAACTCTTTCAAGGGAGGTGACTGGAGTTGGAGCTATGCCTCTCTGATGACAGCTGAAGCTCCAGAAGCCATCTAGAACTACCAGACACTTTGAAGATGTAAATTAATGCCAAGAATGCATGGAACAACCCTGGCTGGGTGGCTCAGTTGGTTGGAGCATCGTCCCATAAACTGAAAGGTTGTGGGTTCGACTCTCAATCAGGGCACATACCTGGGTTGTGGGCTTGATCCCCAGTTGGGGCACCTGTGGGAGGCAACCCATTGATGTTTCTCTCACATCGATGTTTCTCTCTCCCCCTTCCTCTCTCTCTCTTAAAAAAAAAATCAATAAAAACACATCCTTAGGTGAGGATTAAAAAAGAGAGAGAGAAAAGAGCCCAAGACCCTGATGGCTGTGAAGTAATCATACCAATGCTGGACTTCCCTTCCCTCTGGGCTTTTTTAATCCAAAAGAAAAATCAATTTCTACACCATGACTAAACTACTGCTGATTGGGGTTTTTTTACAGCCAAATTTAATCATAATTAATCAACATATTATTCCTTTAGTTGGTTAAACTACATATTTGGGCACAACATTCTCCTTCTGAAGTACAAGCTAAAAAAGTTAAGGCCTGCTTAGAAATACAACACTAGCATAATTTCTTAGACTTGCTGCCAGTAGTGAAGGATCAGTTTACATGAGACAAATGCTCATCTTGTTCCCAACAATCTTTAGTACCAAACCTAGGAATTTCTTGTCAGAAATTTACATGTTTACAAAGAAGTCACAAAAGCATTCTAGATGATGGCTATAATTTCTAACTATGAGTTATATCACTCAAGATTCCTGCCTTACTTCAAAGATGTGAAAAGTTCCTGCTGGCTGTTTCCTTTTATTAAATACCCTGAGCCCTCACAGTACCCTGGCAGGCTTTGGGATGCTCAAGACAACTTATAGATTACTGAGTGGCTTTGAAGCTTTCCTCAAAGAAGGACTAGGTTCAAGAAGCTAGTGTAGAAACATCAAGCCAGTCTTGGATGTAGTATTTGATTATGCTACCAACTCTGTAAAGAGGAAGGGTTTAGAATGGTTCCCTTTTAAGTCAAAAGTTCTGACTATAGCTAGGATCTCCTTCTAGCTACCTTCTAAGTTCCTCTTTCTAAAGCCATAGAACCAGTATGACTGAAAGATGCTTCCGTGTTATGTAGAATATGTGTGGTACAAATTCAAATATAAGCTGGGAGTGGTACTCAAATGGCAGTGTGGCTATAAGAAACATCTCTAGCCCGGCCAGGCGTGGCTCAGCAGTTGAGCATCGACCTAGGATCCAGGAGACTGCGGTTCAATTCCCAGTCAGGACAGATGCCAGGTTGCAGGCTCAATCCCCAGTCAGGGGTGTGCAGGAGGCAGCTGATCAATGACGACTCTCATCATTGATGTTTCTATCTCTCTCTCTTCCTCTCTCTGAAATCAATAAAGATATATTTTTAAAAAAGGAAACATTTCTAAAACTTTAAAAAACAGATGCAGTGACTTCATTTCAAACATACTAAAATAGAATTTCTAGTAGTGGACGTAAGCACAGCTCCACAGGTGACTCTGAAGAGTAACCTCAGCTGGAAAACTCTGTATCTAAAGGGTAAAAATAAAGAGTATTGCTTTGTTTTATGATTAATGTATTATGAGGACTCAGGAAACACTGACCAGTCTCTTTCAGAAGTTCTTTCACATCAGAACAATTAGACTCAATACCTTTTGAAGGGAATCATTTTGAGGCCATTTAAAAGACTTGTTTAGAGTTTCTTAGATATTACAGGAAATGTGCTGCTGAGTACAAAAGTTTCTTTGGGAGATGTAGCTGTAATTTATTAGAACTACTTGTACAGAAGACACCCACACAAGTTCCATTCTGTGCCTCGTTTCTTGCACGACTACCCATAAAGTGGCCAGTGCTGGTGGTGAAACACAAATAGATATAGGCCCACTCAGCAAGTCTGTCTCTTTGGTCAAAGATTACCGCACAGTACTTATTTATCACTTGGACTGCATTTAAATGAAAGCTCTTGTATTTTACATTTTATTCTTCTTTTGCAGAGCCATCTCTAATTCACTGCTTAAGGAAATTTTAATTAATTAACATTATGCTGTGAAATCTTTTAATAAGACTCGGTATGAGGGGAAAGCCTTAAATGCAACACAGACTATGCATGTGGTAAACAAGGTACTTCTCTGCAAATAATTATGAGGTAATGAAAATGAAGTGATAGGTAGATATGCACTCAATTCTTCAATCCATGGTATTTCAGAAACCAAATCAGTTTTATAACCTCTCATCCATTCTGGAAATAAAGCACTAATAAGTTCTCCCTTCTAAATTAAAGAAGTGAATTCTGAATTTCCCTACTCTGAAGGACTTATAATAGATTTCATTGTACAGTACTTCCTTTAGCCGCAGGTTAAATCTCTTATAAACCCAAACTGCAAGGTTATATATACACTGCCCATGTTATCTTGTATATTTTCGCAGGGTACTATAAAACAGATTTTCCATCCATCAATAACATATTCTTATAAATCCTGCTGGACATATGGCTCACACATATTTCAAGTTGCATAAAACAGGAAGTAAGGTGTACAAACACTACAGCTAATTTTCAGTCTGTCATAAATTTAACTTGGGTGAAATAGACCAAATCAAGGATAATGGCTTCTTTATCACCCAAGCTGTTACCTAAAAAGATTCCATAATGCATTATGAACAGTAACTACTCTAAGTAGAGATATTTTTAAATGCACATCAGGCTGAGAACTGAAATAGAACCACCTTGAAGCTTTTGGTAATTTGATCACATTATTGCCTAATAATTAGCCT